CAGCACGCAGCTGCCGCCAGAATGCAGCACCTTCTGAATCGTCGGCAGTGCGGAGCGGATGCGGTGGTCGTTCGTGATCCTCCCATCCCTCACGGGAACGTTGAAGTCCACACGGAGGAGGACCTTCTTGTCCTTCAAATCGAAATGATCAATGTTCTTCTTCTCCTTCAGTGTCATCTTCGCGCTTCACAGTTGAACTGTTGAACTTTTTTTGATTTTTTATTTAATTTTTCGTTTCTTGTTTTGGCCTCAAAAGTAGTTACCGTTTATATATGTGTATATATTGGACTTTGACAAATATCTGCGTGTATGCGCACCGGCACCGCGGGAAGGCCACGCACACACATAAAAAAAAAAAAAGAAACGCCAACGCGGGTGGCAGCGGTGTGAACTGACACGGCAGGCCGCAGAAGGACCAACACGCAGAAGCAGAAGAACAAACGAAAAAAAAAAAGGAGCACTGACGACGCACGACACGCTGACAGCCGAAAAAAACAAAAAACAGAAAAATAACTTTTGCAGACCCGGAACGCGCACGTTGGCAGCGCAGCCCGTATTCTACTCCTTGTCGTCCAGCACGGCGATACCGGGGAGGACTTTGCCTTCCAGCAGCTCCAGCGACGCCCCACCACCGGTCGACACGTGCGACATGCGTGGGGCCTCGCCACTCAGCTCCGCCGCACTCGCGCTGTCACCGCCGCCAATAATGCTCATCAGCCCCAGTTCCTGCGTGCTTTCGCCCATCGCCTTCGCGATCGCAAAGGTGCCTTTCGAGTACGGCTCCATCTCAAAAACACCCATCGGGCCATTCCAGATCGCGCTCTTGCATTTCCGTACAACCTCAACGTACTTCTCAATCGTCTTGGGGCCGATATCCAACGCCATGTAGCCGTCAGGAATGTCCACCCCCTCCGTGACCAAAGGCGACTCTACAGCCTTGAACTCCGTGTGGCACACGTGGTCCACGGGTAGCATCAGCGTCACCTTGCGATCCTCCGCCTTCTTCAACAGCGAGCGTGCAAGCTCCAGCTTGTCCTCCTCGCACATCGAGCTCCCAATCGTGTGGCCCTGCGCCTTCAGAAACGTGTACGCCATCGCGCCACCGATAAGCAGGTAGTCAATGCGCTGCAGCATGTTGTCCAGCAGAAGGATCTTGTCGCTCACCTTTGCACCGCCCACAATCGCCACAAACGGCCGCGCCGGGCTACCCAGCACCTTCGCAAAGTAGGAGATCTCCTTGTCCATCAGGTAGCCCGCGGCACCGCAACCAAGCACCTTGGGAATACCCGTCATTGTCGCACTGTCACGGTGGGCAGTGCCAAACGCGTCACTGACAAAAACATCGCCGTACGACGCCAGAACCCTCGCCATGGCGTGACGCTCCTCCTCCTTCTTACTTCCCTCCTCATGGTAGAAGCGCACGTTCTCCAGCAGCACAACGCCGCCAGGCTGAAGCTTCTCCACAATAGATGCCGCGTTCAGGCAATCCGGCGCAAACGTCACCGGGAGATCAAGAAGTTCTTGGAGGCGTTCTGCCACAGGCTTCAGCGTCGCTCCCGCCTCGTATCCAGGCACGTTGCCGTCGACGCAAGCAGCAGCAGCACTCATCGGCGTGCCCTTTGGCCGGCCAAAATGGCTCATCAGCACGCAGCTGCCGCCAGAATGCAGCACCTTCTGAATCGTCGGCAGTGCGGAGCGGATGCGGTGGTCGTTCGTGATCCTCCCATCCCTCACGGGAACGTTGAAGTCCACACGGAGGAGGACCTTCTTGTCCTTCAAATCGAAATGATCAATGTTCTTCTTCTCCTTCAGTGTCATCTTCGCGCTTCACAGTTGAACTGTTGAACTTTTTTTGATTTTTTATTTAATTTTTCGTTTCTTGTTTTGGCCTCAAAAGTAGTTAC